CAGGTCATGGTTATCTCCAAGTTTTTGTTTTTTTTTCCCCCAAAAGGCAGCCGGACTGCCTTTGTTTTTCCTTGAAAACGTTTCCCTTTCTCGTCCCAAGAAGCTTCAATGGTTCTGAACTCACGAAGCTTCTTGAGACGAGAAGCGAAACGTTCTTCAGGGAAATACCAAAAGGAAGTCCGGTTGCCTTTTTGAAAAAGCACCTTTGAGCTTGTCCTCGGGGATATTTTTGAACCTCTGCTCTTTGGGGTGCTTTGCCATGGTTAAGCCTGGCTGGAGCTGATGGAAGGTTGAGGTCCAGAGCACCTGGTGGCTCATCTCTTCAGTAGTTAGCACTAAGTGTCATTTAAAAAAAAAAAAAAAAAAAGGACAAAGCATGACTCAGAAGGATTTCCATATTTTAGGTTAGATGTTAGGTTTGCTCTAATCTTTTTTAACTGTTGAAATATCCATGATAGCATTCGTTTGGATTTCCCCTCAAAATCTTGATCTTCGCTTTCGGACGGGAAACGATTGCATTTCTCCTTCTCTATTAGACTTTGATATTGTCTGACCTTGGAAGGTGCTTCCCCTTTCTAACGTGATGCCTCCCTCTCAGGTGCGCCATGTGAAAGCACCGGAGTTAACAGCTTTTGTGTCCTCCCATCTTACATTGTGACATCCGTCTCGCTTCTCTTTTCGATTCATTTTATCTAGTGGGATTCTCCCACGCCGAGTTGGTTGGCACGTATTTCCTGCGTGGGCCTTTGGCATCTCGTAGGAAGAGCGGGCTTTCTTCAGCTCCTTTTTTTTTTTTTTTTTTTGGCATACAGGGGTGACGCTCATGTCTCCTTGCCCCTCTTTGTGGCATCTTCCTTGTTTGCTGTGGAATTCTCCTCCTGTAACAGGAGTGGTATTCACTTACTTTCCCTACCGGTTCGCAAATGTGTGTGCGCGTGCTCCACTCATGCGCCTGGGCTTCCACACATGACATGCCTAAATAGGATGGCATAGAGCCAGGGCGGGTGGGTTGGGCCACCCACAATTGCCGCTACCAGTTCGGGTGAACCGGCCCGAACCGGCTGAATGTCACCTCTGTCCCGCAAACAATTGTTGGATCCAAGACATGAGCTAGGTCGTGTTAATCACCAACAGGGAAAACTGGCGGTTGGGACGGGGTGGAGAGGATTTACAGCAATACCCCTCCCGTTCCTGATTTGCTTGGAGACTTTTCAGAGACAGCAGTCTTACCAGATGTTGGAACTCAACATCTTCCTTCAATTGCAGAAATGCTTTCCGTCGGTAGCTGCAAGGATTCCTCTTTAGGAGTGAGTTTTTAGGGGGCTGTTACGGGATGTTTCCACCTCCCCATAGGTTCTGCACCACATGGCAGGATCCCCACTTAGATCCACCTAGCAGCTTTGAGGATAGGGATGGGCAGCGAGATCAGTTTGTGAGATAATTGTTGGACGTTTGGTGTCTTGCTCCAGTGTGGTGTGTTTTATTGCCTCATCGTTTTTTTTTAATGTCGTGGCATTCTTCGATCTTGTTTGCCACCCAAGATTGCTTGGCTATATAAATTTAATAAATATAATCAGCTTAAGAACTGGAGGTTCTGGACCAAATCTGTCTCTGGTGCGAGGGGGCAGTTATTCACCATTTTAAGCAGGTTGATGTGATCAACTCGATCCCGTTTATTTCTGGTTGAGAAATGAATGTTTAATCGTTTTGAGAAATGACCCAATTTTCATCCTCTCCGTCCCTGGAACTGAAGAGAAACGACTTGAGAGGGTTGGTGCTGCCAGGTTGTTTCGATCTGCGGTCGAGAGCACAAGATCAACCAAAGGTAAGCTTGGAGCCCACCTCAAAAGGTGGGACAGATCCAAAGCGTTGCTTCCTCTTTGAAAAAGGAAGAAAGCGAGGGCAGCAGAAGAAAAGTGGATGGGAGGTCCAAAGTAGAAGAGAGGACACTTGTGGAAGAAGGGGATTCAGGTTTCTCCAACCATCTCCTGTCTGCCTGGCTTGTAAAGTCCCTCCTTTGAGCCACCAACGATGAAGGTAGAAGCTCCCTGTTGCTTTAGTTCCCCTCCAGAGATGGACGTACGAAAGCACAAGCAAGAGAGATCGTAGCCTCGGATTTCAATGTTTGCTGTAGATGCGGAGAAAGTTGAACGCGAGAGCCACTTTTTTTAGACACCTGCAAAGCCCTGGTTCGATCCACAACGCCAGATGCTGGTTTGTTTGGTATTTTGGCTTAATACGTTTCGTAAACCCAGCGAATGCAAAGGCTAAACCGAGCGTTGTGGCTTAACGTGCCTTGTGAAGCTAGCTAGCCATTTGGGGTTTATTCCGCAAATTGGGCCTTCAAGCAACTCTCTCTTGATGCCATCCTCTGAACCTGGCCTCTGGGACACCGCATGTATAAAACATTTATAAGATTTTGTTGTCAGAGCAGCGACGTCTGCAGTTCCTTAGGGAATAAGGAAGTCAGATTAATTTTCTAAAAATTCCCTCTATAGCTACTGGGAATTTGTGCTTTTGGCACAATGAGAGCCTAGGGATGCCCTTCTTGTCTTACTCAGACACGTCTCATGTAGCAAGCAAATGATGCGCAGGTTCTCATGAAGAGGCCTTAGTCCAGCAATTTAAGAGGTTGGACGGTTGTGGAGATCCGATCTGACCCAGAACTTAATACTCCCAATTCTTGTCTGAAGACCTATCCTGTTTCTCAGCAACCAGGAGGATCTAGCATTTCTGGTTTTGGAGAAACCAGGAAATTGTTATCTTAACCATCTTGACTAGCAACTATCGATAGTCTTTCATCCTCTGTGCTGGAAAGCTGAGATGGCCCCCATCGCACATCTTCTACAAGCTCTTTTGTACAGAAACATGCCCTGCGAACAAGTTACGTGACCCGTCGAGCGTCATTGGACAACCAACCTTCCAAGTATTTTGAGAGAAACGACTTGTTTTGTCTGCAGTTGTCCATTTCTCCAACTCTTGTCCCTCGCTAGGTCGATTTTCCTCAACTCTTCTTTTGTTCCGGCACATTCCCCAGCTCTTTAGTTGCTTGTTTGACGTTCCTAGCCCACTTTTTCCAAGTGAGCTTGTATGAAGACCTCATGGCTGCCTGAATTTCATTCAGTTGTTCTAATGCAGTTACCATCTCTTGATCCCCTGCAGAGATGTTATGAGGATGAAAGAAAAAATAAACTGTTTCTGTAACATATCATACTAGCGTATTATTGAGAGGAGACGGTCACGGCGGTAGTACAATTGAGACATTTATTTAGTAACCGCAGTCCTTCAAACTACAAGATGTGGAACTTTCTACTGTGAGATAGGTAGACATCGACACGTACCTTAGTTTCTTGGCCAAGCAAGTCCTGGAATGAATAATCCACATTATTTCCCATCTCTGCATGAAATGTGCTCCTTTCCTCTTGGAATTACTCTTGCAAATTGATTGGATTATTTCACCTCTCAAAATGGCCTAATGGGACAAGCAGCCTTTCAAAGACCACGCCAAGCTGGGGCTGCTCTTGAGTTGGTGGAAGTCACTTGCTTCTGCTCTCAGATCTTATCTGGTCCATTTGGGGTTTGTTTATAGCACGTCCCCAGTCTTCACAGTTTGTAAACCTTGCTCAATAGACCAAGTGTGTTGGCAAAGCTTGAGATCAAGTCAATAAATATAATTTAGCAGAGTAGGTAAGCTCAACCAAACACTGGAGCACAAAGAACCATACATGGCTGGTTAATAAACATTCTCCCTCAACAAATGTGGGTTGTTCAACGCAAGTAAGAAAGGCATTATAGAATAGTACTCAAGAAATGCGGAATGGTTTCCAGCTTCAATCAAGGTTGTTAGATCAGGGCTGACATTGTCAACAGCTGCGGGAAGACGTTGGGCTGGTGTTGAGTTTTCAAATGGTCGCCATAAGTATCTACAGTCCATAATTATCTGTCATTGTGGCCTTCACCTAATCAGTCTCTGGGTTGTAGCAGAAATGCGGTTTTGCTATTTGGGGCTGTAGATGTTCCTTGACCCAGGCTGGCCAAAATCCCCTCATAGGTCATTCTGGGATCTTTTTGAGTTTATTCCATTGCATCTTTAGTCATGCTAGAATTGGCATGAAAACTGACAAAAAACTGAGTAGCTTTTCTACACACCTATTTTGCAGTCATTCCTAGAAAAATCAGATCTCGGGGTGTTTGTTGAACATCAAACAAGCTTCAAACCAAAGAATCGGTGGGTGACCCAGAGAATGTCCGGCAGAATAAAAGGGCAATAAAGAATAAAATCATACCAGGTTGAAAAAAATGCCACCTCCATTTTACAATTAGCAGATCTGTAGCTTTGCGAAACCAAAAAGGCTAGAATTGAGGTGCTGTCATCCAATAATTTTCGTTTTCATTTAAATATTGCTTTCCTTGGGCCATGAAGGAATGAGCAATAACAATAATGTGTTTTTGAATAAATGGATGGATGGATGGATGGATGGATGGATGAATGAAGCAAAGAAACCTGTTATCCCATTATCCCAGCCAGGCTTATTCACCAATAGAAAGGTTTCTGCCTTGAGATAAAAATGCCTAAATATTAATATTAAAGCTTTTTAACATAGATAATTGCAAATTATCCCAGTTTTAACAACATGGTCATCTAATCAATGAAACCCTATGGGAAATTGTTATTTTCCTGCTTGTTATTTATTTGATTTATATTTGAGACGACCTCGAAACCTGACAGCCTGGGGTTTCCATCCAACCAGACATATGCCAGTTTTCTAACTTGCTGAGAAGGTTAAAAGTCTGGCCTGTATTTCTAAAATGATACTGAGGCTTGGGAAGGTTTGGGGATTTTTTTTCATGGGCAACAGGCTCCCTGTTTTTGAAGTCCGTTTAAAGTTTTATTTCCCCCCTCCCCTTCTGGGTCCCTGATCCCCAACCGAGTCCTGTTCGCAGTGACAAAAATCAGTTCCGTTCCATTTTTTTGAGTTCCTTAACTCCCATCACTTCAGCTATACACAGAACGGGATTTTGCACATGTTGGACCGAAACAAACGGATCAAACCCCGTCCGGAAAGATTCCAGAATTGCAAAGACGTCTTCGATTTGATCTTAACGTGCGAAGAAAGAGTTTATGATCAAGTGATAGAAGGTAAGGCCTGCCCTTGGGGGAAGGTTCAAGAGCGGGTGGGTTAGATTGGGTGAAATCCAGCAGGTTCTGCAGAACCCGTAGCAGAACTTTTGAGCAGTTCGGAGAACCGGCAAATACCACCTCTGGCTGGCCCCAGAGATGGGGAGGGAATGGGGATTTTGTAGTATCCTTCCCCTGCCATGCCCACCAAGCCATACACACCCACCAAGCCATGCCCACAGAGCCGATAGTAAAAAAATTTGGATTTCACCACTGGTTTGGATGTTAGACCCACTGGCCTTGGGGAGGTTCAAGGGCCTGGGGTCTTTATAATGCGCTGTACAAATGACCTTGGGTGACAGGGAAGAGACAGCCAAGGAAGAGTTGGATAAGAGGCAGCTGAGCCCACAGAAAAAAATGGGGTGTGGAAAACATCTCAGAAGGAACCCTCTCTAGTTTCTTCGACTATAAAGGGTGGCAGGGGAGGTGGGCTTTCAGATTGGCAAGATTCCGTTAGCATAATCTTACAATAAAGTAGAATTAGTTCTACTAATTAAGTGGGCAGTGTACAGAAGGTAGCTTGGGGGGCTGGGAGATTGAATTCTACCCTCTAGCTCTCATGATGTTCCAGATAGATAGATTGATAGATTGATTAATTAAGTGCATCTCTCAGAAACAAAATGGGATGTTTTGCCTTTTGCTTTGCTATGTATCCGTCTCTCTTTGCCCGACCTCCTTAAAGTATTCAAACCAGGCTTGTATAAAATTTGCAGATTTGGGGTTATTTTCATTAGTTGGGGTCAGAATTCAAATCCTGGGGGAGAGGAGGCAAGGGCGCAAGCACATACCTAAATTTGGCTTTCCTTCTTTGCCTTACTGTAAAACAGAAAAGGGTTTTGTCTTTGTTTTGTTTTGTTTTTTGTTTTTTTGTTTTCTTAACCTTTTATTTTTCCTGTCTTCTTAGATTTAAATTCTAGAGAACAGGAAACATGTCAGCCTGTACACGTAATAAATGTGGACATTCAAGATAATCATGAAGAGGCAACTCTGGGCGCCTTCCTTATCTGCGAGCTGTGCCAATGTGTAAGTCTAAACACTGCTGAAACGTTGCTGAAATTCTTCTGCTGGTTTCTGATCCCGCACCCTGCTAGCCTAACCCTCTCGCAATATATATATTGGACTACATCTCCCATCCCCTTCATCCAGTGCCTTCCACCAACGGTTATTTTTCCAGCAACAGGTGCACACAGCACCAGCTGTATTTTAAGTGGGGCAGCGTATGGAAGGAAACTTGGGGGACTGATCTCTAGTCCCAAAACACCATTCATACTTTAAAAAAACAAACATACAAACAAACTCTCCCCCCTACACACACACACAGTGGTGGGATTCAGCCAGTTCGCACCTATCCGGGAGAACCGGTTGTTAACTTTCTAAGCAGTTCAGAGAACCGGTTGTTGGAAGAAATCGTATTTTGTTTTTTCCCACTTTACAGGGCTAATCCTGTAAGGAAGGAAACATTCTGGTGGTGTTTCTAGCCTAATCTTTATTGCCCTGCTTACAGAAACTGCCTCTCTGATTAACCCTTATTACATTGTAACAGCTAAGGCGAAGCACCCATCAATGTGAATGACATTGGGCAGAGAACCGGTTGTTAAATTATTTGAATCCCACCACTGCCCCCACTCCAATAATATCTGAATGAATTATCCAGAAGAGAGAGAGAGAGAGGCAGGGAGGGAGGGAGGGAGGGAGAGAGAGGAAGGAAGGAAGGAAAGGAAAGAGAAAGAAAGAAAGAAAGAAAGAAAGAAAGAAAGAAAGAAAGAAAGAAAGAAAGAAAGAAAGACATAGAGCAAAGGGAGAGACGGTTTCAATCATTTGTGAAGTGGGACAGTGTCAGCACAGAAGGGTGTATTTTTTTGCTTAGCGATATTTGGCTGAGATTTATTTAATTTTTTAAAGCAACTTGCTAGTCCTCAAGGAGAGACACTAAAAATAGAGGATTCAGATAACTTTGAGGACCAAAGAAAAAGGAAAAATTGTCTCGGTCCTAAGATTTCTGGGCTCACATGTGAAGGGGGAAGGTCTTCTGGACAACCATACAGTTACGATCAAGAATGATTAAGAATAGTAATTATTTCTCCAGGGGTGGGGGAGAGAATTGGGAAAAAGCATATGACTGGGTTGTGTGCCCCTCTGGTATTTTACGATTTGTTGTTGAATCAGAACCTTTATTGTAGCAAAAAAGGGGGAAATTACTATCTGTGTATATTTTGGAGCGGAAAGTTGAAGAAAACATTTATTTTCCAGTTTAAAGCAATTAAATGTGTGTTTTTTTCCCCCACCCTCCTCTCTGCAGATACAGCACACGGAAGACATGGAAAACGAAATAGATGAGCTATTACAAGAATTTGAAGAGAAAAGTGGGAGGACTTTTCTGCACACAGTCTGTTTTTATTAAAAAAAAACAAAAACAACCAACCAATTCAGACAAACAAATCCATCTCCTCCAGGCCTTACTGCAAACAAAAGAGGCATGTTTTAGTTTCGACCCAACGGGACAATTATTATTTTTTTTTCCCTCTTCTCCTTTTGGAAAGCGAACGTCCAACCCAAACTCACTTTCTCGTTGCTGTTTTAATTTCCTTCGGCCCACTGTATATTTTTTTAAAAAAATTTATTGATATTATTATTATTATTATTATTTGCAGTGCAAGGGAGGCGGTTTCTGTACAGGGATGCAAACGAACTCTGCCGAGAAAAACGGAGGGGGGAAAAGAAAGAAAAGAAAAAAAAAAAAGAACTTGAATCTCCCTCGAGTCTGGTTTATTTAAGAGACTGAACAGATCAAGATTTGTTTTAATCCCCCTCTCCCCTGCCCCTTTCCCCTTCCACCCTGGCTACCTTACTTGAATGGTTATAAGTAGGGTTTTAATTATTCAAAGACTGTTTTCACAAAAGATATCATTTCTACGTGCCAGTATAAAATCTTAACGTTATTTCGGTTGGTCGCTTTATTGGGGGCGGATGGGGCGGGGGAGATAAACTGAGCGGCTGGAATATGGGGAAAGATTTGACTGGAGCCAGTGCATATCTTGTATAATAGTAGCAATGAAATTGGAATCCTCTAATAAATGCAAATCACAATCTACTGTTTCTTCGGCTGCATACTACGTTGGATGGAGAAGGAGGCTCGATCTCGCCTTTGCATAAGGGTTGTTAGGGCTCTACTGCGGGTAGTCCTCGACTTACGGCCGCAGCAGAGCCCCAAATTTATGTTGCTAAGGAAGACGCTAAATGAGTTGTGGCTCATTTTATGACCCATTTTTGCCAACACTTACAACTGCTTAATGCATTGTAAGCCACCCTGAGTCTCCAGAGAAGGGCGGCATATAAATCAAATTTAAAAAAAAAAAACAGTTAAGCGAATCACATCATTAAATTAATCTGCCTTCCCCCTTTGATTTTGCTTGTCGGAAGCCAGCTGGGAAAGTTACAAATAGTGATCAGCAGACCTCCCCACCCCCGGGATGCTGCAACCCATCATAAATAACATGCCAGTTGTCGAATGCCCAAATTTTGATCACGTGACCATGGGGATGCTGAAAAAGTCGTGAGTGTGGGGGGGGGAAACGGTCTTTTTTTTTCCAGGGCTGTTGTAACGTCAACTGGTCACTAAACAACAAATGGGTTGTAAGTCGAGGACTACCTGTAGCCATTTCAGGAATACATCTGTGTGCTTCTCTCGGCTGCAATACGTACCAGGTTTCCATTGTTTTCGTTCACGATATTTGTAAACATTCCTACGAATCTTATCTACGCAAGATGAAGGTTTTCTAATTGAAGGTTATGGACTGTTATCTCTCACGGCTTGGCAGAGAAATGTTTTCTGACTTATCTAGTCACGGAATGACTGTCCCAATGTGACCCGGCTGTCTTCCAGGCCTAAGAAAAGATGAGAAGCTGAGTTTCTCTGCTCTGATAGATAGATAGATAGATAGATAGATAGATAGATAGATAGATAGATAGATAGAAATAGAGATAGATTAGATAGAAAGAAAAAGAAAGAAATAGGGATAGATAGAAGATAGATGATAGATGATAGATAGATGATAGAAGATAAGATGATAGATAAAAAGAAAGAAAGAAATAGGGATAGATAGATAAGATGGGAGATAGATTAGATAGATTAGATAGGTAGGTAGGAATTAGATATAGAATGATAGAATTAGAATTAGATACATAGAGACATACATAAATAGAATTAGATTAGAATTAGATCAATAGAAGGTAGGTAGGTATGTAGATAGATGGATGATGGATGGATTAGAATTAGATCAATAGAAGGTAGGTAGTTGATAGGTAGATGATAGAGGATAGATAGAATTAGATCGATAGAAGATAGGTAGATGATAGGTAGATGGATGATAGAAGATGGATGGATGGATTAGAATTAGATCGATAGAAGGTAGGTACTGTAGATGATAGGTAGATGGATGTTGGTAGATAGATTAGAATTAGAAGTTAGATAGATGATGGATGATAGAAGGTAGGCAGGTAGAGATAGATGATAGGAAGGTAGATGATGGATGGATGAAAGGTAGATAGGTAGATAGACAAATCTTAGACAAATCTTATCAACAGCCAAGGCATAGCTCTAGTTTCTAATTCCAGTATCTACCAATTCTGTTTGGTTTTGGAGGTCAGTTTGGGTGAGTTAAAATGTCGGACTATGTTATATATGACCAACTCCAAAAGTGCATCGGGAGAATCAGCAGAGGAGACAAAACTGTAGGTAGGTAATTGGTTCAAGTCTTGAGCGCTCGTGGAATGACAAGACCTGGCCTGTGAAAGCCCACGCGATCCCCAGAGAAAGTTAGAACATTCCGTCGCTCTTTGCTGCCATCGAGAGGCCATCTGGATGTTTGCACTCTTGCATCCTGTAGTGTAGCCCTTCTTCATTTGCTTCTGAATTTTGTGACCTTGGAGGGCCCTCATTTTGCCCAGATTTTCTGTTCATCCTTGCAAGTGTTTAGACAACCTTGTCTTCTATGGGCCTCTTTTCCAATTGTCTTTAAATTCTGCCAAGCATCAGGAGTCTTCTCCAACGGCTCTTGGGATTTTGCCTTACAAGTTGGAAATATCTACGCTTCAGCGTTGTTCTCATTGCTTCAAGGGAACAGCCTGGCTTTATTTCACCTAGAACTTGAATTATTTATCCTTCTGGACCAAGGTCTTCTCCACAGCTCTCTCCTCTCCTATATTTCAGAGGTCTTTGATAACCGCTGCTTTATTTGGCCTCTCCGGTGGTCCTGCCTGGACCACCAGATGTAACAATGGAAAAAGCCGTAGCCTTGTCCACACCTCCCATTTGCAATCAGACTTGCAAAATTATTGTCGGTCCCAATAAGTAAGACCAGACTAAGAATTCACAGAAGCTCCACAGGAAGACTAAAAGCTACTTTTAATGAGAGTGGCTTGTAATAACTGGATATTTGCAAGTCTCGTTGCAGTGTCTCTCCTCCCCTTCTTATGCTCCAGTGAATTAGGAAGGTGTCTTATCTGAGCCTTTATCTGGTCGGCTCTGTCTAATGTGGACATACAATATATTTTTTCCCTCTTGTCGTTTTGAGTAACGTTGCTTATACATCTTCAACAACGTCTTCTACCTTAACTCCTGACGCTGGTTGAGAATCCCTCCTTCAACATGGTTTTAAAAGGAAGTGTTATCTTCCCCCAGGATGGTAACTGGGGATGAAGAATATTTTAAGTAGCAGTTGATGGTTTGATACCCCTTTTCCACCATTGGAGAATGGGTAGACCTTGAGACCAAGAGCCGAGGTGGCGCAGTGGTTAGAGTGCAGTACTGCAGCTACTTCAGCTGACTGCTAGTTCAGCAGATCAGCAGATCAAATCTCACCGGCTCAAGGTTGACTCAGCCTTCCATCCTTCCGAGGTGGGTAAAATGAGGACCCAGATTGTTGGGGGGGCAATATGCTATTTAGTATACTGTCTTTGGTGTAAGCCGCCCAGAGTCCTCGGAGAGTGGGCGGCATAGAAATATGACTAATAAATAAATAAGGCTAAAGGGGTTTTTACATTGTAATAATTATAATTAATTTTAATTGGATCTTAATTTATATTTAATTCATATCGTTGAATTTTTATCTTGTAAGCCGCCCTGAGTCCTTCAGGAGAAGGGCGGCATTATAAATTGCAATAAAATAAATAAATAAAGTAAAATAAAATAAAATATCGGCATCTGATGGCTACTTCTCAACCAGCAGGAGTTCCACCATCTCTTCAAGGAAAATAGCATCTGTAAAAACTTTTAATTTAAAAAAAAAAAGAAAAGTAAAATAGCATCTCCTTGCCTTCTCTCTCTCTCTCTCTCCCCCTCCCTCTTCCTCTCTCTCTCTCTCTCTCTCTCCCTCTCACATACACACACACAAATCCCTTGCACATTTCAAGGAAGACCAAGGTGAAACCAACACACTTCCCAAATGGGTTTTCCTCGATTTTGAGAACTTTGAAAAGGAAACCCCACACATTTTTGGCTTATTTAAACCCCGTCAGTTCGCAAACCACCAAGGGGACCTTGTCAAGCAAGACTTTAAGATGCCCGGGGTCTGAAACAGGGTTAAGCATTTAATAGCAGGGACTCTTTTTTTTTGTCATGTGTGAATGGGGAACTGTTAACATTCTCTTCAGCGCCTGGCCGAAGGAGGGAAGAGACTGTTCTTCTATGTCAGCTAGGAATTAGCCATGCTGCAGCCCCCAAAAATTGATCCGAGCTAAATCCGCCAAATCACTTTGAAGACTGACCAGGAGAAGAGCCAGAAGACACGCATGAGTTTCTGCCATGCTCAAACCCAAAGCTTTGGAGGGGGGGGGGAGGGGGTAAGGGGGTGTGGTGCAGCCACGCAATATGATGTTGGTGCCCTGGAGAAGGCAGGCATTTTTTCCCCCCCTTTTTTTTGCAACTTGATGCTTCTGAATAACTTTGGACTGGAGGTCTCCTAGGAAGCTGTCAGAGGCGGGGACCAAAGAGGTGCACCCCCCTTCCAATTCTCCCCTCCTCCTTCCCCCCCCCCACATTTCCTTTTAAATTGCATTTGTTTCCTGTGTTCTTTCTTTCTGTGTTCTTTCTTTCTTTCTTTCTTTCTTCTGTCTTTCTTCTTTCTTTCTTTCTTTTTTTGGTCCCCCTAAAAGTTAACCTCACTTTTGAGGGGTTGCGGGGAACCAAGTCAATTGGCCCAGAAATGCAATTTATTCTGAGAAGCTCCGAATAAAAAGGTGGAATTATTTTTTCTTCTTCTGGGGTGGGTGGTGGTGGTGGTGGGTTGGGGTTGGGGTGGGGAGAGAAGGGACTTTCAAAGCAAGGTGGGAGGCAACGGATTTTGGTACTAAGACCAGCGGCTGGGAAGAGGAGCCAGGAAGAGAGAGAGAGAGAGAGAGAGGAGAGAGAGAGAGAGAGAGAGAGAGAGAGAGAGAGAGAGAGAGAGAGAGAGAGAGAGAGAGAGAGAGAGAGAGAGAGAGATTCCCTCCCTCCCCATTTTGATCAAACACCATTTCGATTATAAAGGAGCTAGGAAAAAGGAAGGGGGGGGTGCAGCTTCTTTATATTTTGGGGGGCGGTGGGATGGGGAAGAGGGGCTGAGAGTAAGGAAAGGAATCCGGATTGTAAACACAGGAAGGATACGCAGCGGAGTCGCGCCCCCCTCCTTCCCTGCAAGGACCTTTTTTTTAAGATGGAGCATCAACGCCACTACAAATAGGTAAAAAAAAAAATATTAAAATAAAAAATCCTTGGTTTCTTGTGATGGTGGGGGGGGGGGGCGGGGAAGGAAGGGCGGGCCCTGGGAAGTGGGGGGGGGGGGGTGAAGAAACCACGGTTGTCAAAGCTCTTTTATTTTATTTTATTTTTTTGATGGGGAATTGGGGTGGTGGTGGTCCAGGAATGTCCCATTATTCAAAATGGGACTGGGTGGGGCTGAATGGGAGAGGGGGGGAGGAAAAGAGAGAGACAATACGTAGGGAGGATGATGAAGGTGGGGAGGGGGGAAAAATAGCCCGGTTTGAGGAGGGGGGGACAAAAAAAAGGGGGTGGGGGTGTTACCAAAAGCTTTGATACTGACCCTTCAAGCTGCTTGCCTCTCTGGGTGGTACGGTTTGATCTGGGGCAGGAGAGGGAGAGAAAGGTACCCCATTCCTTTGTATACTCTCCTCCTCCTTATCATGATTATTATTAACACCCCCACAAACGCATGCACCCCCTCTTTGCCTGCATAATGCCCGAGGGGGATGGATGCCCAAGATTTCATAACTCCCCCCCCACACAACCCCCCCAAAAAGGGACCACCCTCCAAATCCATCTCCAGTTTAGGCTTTGGGGACCGTTGCTCCATCCATCCATCCATCCATCCATCCACCCCTCTTTCTGGAAGACACCCCTTGTCCCCCCCCACCCAGTAGCATTAAGAAGCTAGGAAAACAGCAAAGGCTGGTGAATGTGTCTTTTTGGGGAAGAGGGGAAGGGTCTTCCCCGCTCTCCCCCCACCCCACCCCGCCTGCCCAAGCGCCGGGCTTTTGCAGTCTCTTTTGGAGGAGAGGGGGGGAAAAAAGGGGGGGGGCTTATGATGTCAGCCCGTCCCTTCTGCGTTTTCTCAGGCTGATGTTCTTATTTGAGCCCCCCCCCCACCGAAAAGGAGGGAGGGAAGAGAAAAAGAAAGAGAGGGAGGGAAGAAGAGAGAGAGAGAGAGAGAAGAGAGGGAGGGAGGGAGAGAGAGAGAGAGACGAAAGGGGAGGGGAAATATTTATTCTCTCCCCCCCCCCTCCTTCACCCTCCTTCCAGGACACACCACCAGCTTTGCACCAATCGCTTCCCCCGGTTTGGAAAGAGAGCGATTTTATTTTTGGTGGGGGGGATCGAACCGGGAGAAGCGGGAAGTGATGCCAAGGGCCGGCTGGGGCTGCTTTTCTGCCTGCCTGGGCTTGGATGGCTCGGTTTAAAGCTGGCCCTGGCTCTGCTCCTCGCCCTGACGCGGCGCTCTCCCCCGGACGGTGCAGCAGCGGCGGCGGCAGCGGCAGCACCGGGCGATGTTCAGCCTTCCGTCCGGTTTGGCTTCGGCTTATCCTCCGGTTCGCCCTGGGTACCTGCCTGAACCTGCAAGGATGCTCCCTCTGGCCGGGGCCAAGGCAGAGAGATTGGAATAAGCCAGTTGAAGAGGGAAGGAAGCCAAGAAGAAGCCAGAGCCAGCTTTAAGGGGGTTGGGGGTGGGGGGGAGGTGGGGGTGGGGGGTCCAGGAGGAGCAGCAGCAGCAGCGGTTGCCGCCTGCGTTTTGTTATGCTTTGCAGGAGGGAGGGGGGGCCGAGGAGGTTCCCCCCCTGCCAGAATTGCAGTTCAGGTTGAAGAGCTTCTATGCGGCCGTCTCTGACCTCTGCGCGGAAAGCTGGGCCCCCTTTCTCTCCTCTTTCCTGTGGGGGAAGCGGCTGGGGGGGGGGCGGCCTGCAGGAAAGTGACAGGGCAGCTGTCAGTTTCCCCGCGAGGTCCATGAATACGAACACCATGATATTTCTGATCCTGGGGGCTTCGGTTGTGATGGTAAGGGTGCTTTGCTTTGCCTTGCCTGCCTTCTTCCTCGGATTCTTGCCTCTCTTCCTTCCTCCCTCCCTCCCCTTCTCTTTCTCCTTCCTTCCTTCCTTCCCATTATTCTTTCCTTCCTCCCTCCCCTTCTCTTTCTCCTTCCTTCTTTCCTTCCTTCCTTCCCATTATTCTTTCCTTCCTTCCTCCTCTTCTCCTTCCTTCCTTCCTCCCTTCCCATTATTCTTTCCTTCCTTCCTCCCCTTCTCTTTCTCCTTCCTTCCTTCCTTCCTCCCTTCCTTCCCATTATTCTTTCCTCCCTCCCTCCCTTTCTCTTTCTCCTTCCTTCCTTCCTCACTTCCTTCACATTATTCTTTCCTTCCTCCCTCCCCTTCTCTTCCTTCCTTCCTTCCTTCTTCCCTTCCCATTATTCTTTCCTTCCTTCCTCCCCTTTTCTCCTTCCTTCCTTCTCCTTCCTTCCTTCCTTCCTTCCTCCCTTCACATTATTCTTTCCTCCCTCCCTCCCTTTCTCCTTCCTCCCTTCCTCCTTCCCATTATTCTTTCCTTCCTCCATTTCATTTTTTTTTTCTGGTGGGGTTTTTTAGCTTCCCCTCTTCCTCTCTGATCTTGCTCTCTCCCCTCCCTCCCTCTCCTTCCCAAGTCCTGGGCTTTTTCGGGTCGAGAACGGTCTCTTCTTCTCAATGCATGCATGACGGGATCCCTGTAACCTCTACAGGTACCGAATTGAAAGAGACACTGGTGCTTTTATTAGCTGGGGAGGTGGGGGGGGGAGGGAAGGAGGAAAGGCGTCAATTTTGGGGGTTGGTTTCTCCTTCCTTCGTTCCCTCTAAAAGGTGGCTCTGTGTTTTTAGGTGGTGTTTTTTTTTCCCCCCTTAATTTTTCCAAGGCCTGATCAAATCTTTTTTGGCCTCTTTCAGGCAATAGCATGTTTAATGGACATGAATGCTCTTCTTGACCGATTTCATAATTATATCTTACCGCATCTGAGAGGAGAAGATCGGGTCTGTCATTGCAACTGTGGAAGGTAAGCCCTACATTTGGCCCCTTTGTGGGTGCAAGTGGGGGTGGGTGGGTGGGGGACAAGGGAGACCTTCTGGGAGGGGAAGAGGGGGCACGCCACTTTTAGCCCTCTCTCAGACGTGAAGTACAAATGGCAGTTTGGGTTAAAGCTTGAATTTGAAGGTGTTTTTTTTTTTCCTGGTGCATTTGTTGGGCTTTCGATTGTACGACGGGCCTCCAAGGAAGGTCAGCGTTATAAAATCATGGGAAGGGAGGGAGGGAGGGAGGGAGGGAAGGAAGAAAGAAAGAAAGAAAGAAAGGAAGGAAGGAAGGAAGGAAGGAAGGAAGGAAGGAAGGAAGGAAGGAATAGAATAGATTTTTTTATTGGCCAAGTGTGATTGGACACACAAGGAATTTGTCTTTGGTGCATACGCTCTCAGTGTACATAAAAAGACAAGATACATTCGTCAAGAATCATAAGGTACAACCCTTAATGATAGTCAAAGGGAAACAGTCAATATAAATCTTAAGGATACCAGCAACAAGGTTACAGTCATACAGTCATAAGTGGGAGGAGAAGGAAGGAAGGAAGGAAGGAAGGAAGGAAGGAAGGAAGGAAGGAAGGAAGGAAGGGATGGATTTTGGCTGATTGCGTGGATGTGTTTCGTGGCAAACGTCAGCCAGTGATGTCAAATGTTTGCATAGCACAGCAGCCATTTGGATGGCTTTCGAAAGAGCTCCCAGCAAAACCAAAGCATAGGGAAGGGTGGTAGGCTGTTGACATTTGAGAGCCTACATCTGTAAGAGCAGTCTACCTTGTAGCAGGGAATCTGGAAGGGAAATAGGTAGAAAGGGCTGTTGTCCCTCTGTTGTTTGAAAGTTTTCTCCCCAAGAAGCCCCCTCCCCATAGAAAAGCGAAGGTGGGGAAGAATCCAGGGGTCCCTTCAGCCTGACCGACCCAGCAGAACAGTTCCTACAGGTTTCTAGTCCACCTGGAAACCCCAACAGAGTTGATCCTGGTTCAGTAAACCAAGGTTTGTTTCCGAAGGTAGGTTGGCAATAGGCATGGTCACTGGATCATAGGACATAGAACTGTTTTGCTCAACTCGCCTTCATTTGCTCATTTGAATTGTTTTGTGGGCCACAAGTCAGTTGGGGGAGCCTTGCGCTTCTTTGATAGACAAAATAGTCTTGCCAACTGATCTCACAATTTCGGAAACAAAAGTTTCCCAAGGCAGGCAGGCTAAGGGACTTTCTAACCCCAGATGAGGATGTTTGGGTGAGGAAAGGACTTTTGCATCTGGTTCCCAAGCAAACAAAATTTCTGCTTAAGGAGGGGGGGACCGACCAAGCCTTGCAGAGGTTGCTACCTGGTGCAAGGTAGACTGTCCTTGCGGATGGAGGCTCTCCAACATCAACAGCCTTAACCTTTTCTTGTGGTCACCAAAGTTTTGCACGTCACCAAGGTTTCCAAAACCAGGTGCTTCCCTCCCCCCCCCCAAGTAGACATGAAGAACCCTTTCCAGGTGCAAGTGCACCTGGGAACCTGCTTCTCTTGTGAACCCATTGACTGATGTATATTGATATGGTTAGGTTGGGGGAAAAGAGATTTCGCCTCCCATTTTTTAACCTTCTCATAATCGAGGGTTGTTAGGGGTTTGTGCATTCAGCACAAGGTCTGTTTTGTTAGGGATTTGTTCCGGGGGGCGGGAGGGGGGCAGTTAAACGACGACTTCAAGCAGATGCACAGACAGGTGTGCAAGAGGAAAATTGAGGGGAACTGGAAGTGCAAAGCCCAAAAGCTGCAAGAGTGGTTAGAATCAAGAGGAGAACTGATTTTGCTTTGTTGATAATCTGAATACAATGTTTTCCAACCTCTTGCAGCTTTAAGATGGGTGAACTTCAACTCCCAGAATTCCCTAAGACTGGCTGGGGAATTCTGGGAATTGAAGTCCATTCATCTTAAGGTTGGAAAACCTGACCTGGTAGGACAATTTAGTATTTTGGATGCATTGATGGCTAACAGTTCCAAACAACTATTTCTTCTATAGTCCTGTTTTCCACAGTCACTTATTCACTTCCTAATTCCCTACAGGGCAGAGCAAATTAACAGCTTGTTGTAAAAAAATAAATAAAAAAAATTCTGATTCCAAGTGTCTATTTGTAAGATTGTTGTGAGCTGAAAAGGTGAGGAAGAGTGGGGGGAAAAAAAAGGTGTGATGGAAATTGAAATAGACTCCAGCATTGGGATAGGCAGTCTTTTTTCCTAGAGAAACATAAATTCTATCGATCGAATTCTTTCAGGGCCTGTTCTAGTAGCAAGTAGGATGCCTGTCAAATAGGGTAAAAGCTCTTTTCTAAAAGAAAATTGGCCTGCCATGAGGTGTACACCAGCTCTTGATTTTTCTATATTTATATAGAGGTCCCTTTGCTAGAATAACCGAGCTAAAGAGGATTCCTTGCCCATTTGCAAATGAATGAACGAACTGCTTGGAATCGTGCAAGCCGCCCTGAAATTGCTAAGATTAGCAGGATGTGTTTTCACGCCGTCCTAAAATACTGTCATTTGCTGGAAAATTGGAAAAGGGAGGAGGATCGGATGGTGACAAGGGACTTGAAGTACACACACCACAGCGGTGGCAGGGAAGAGCGGTTTTATTTGGCCTGCGATCCCCTTGACCAAGTCTGAATAGTTAAAAGAATGAATTGAAGGCTATTCTTCCTTCCTTTCTCTGTTTTAGATTGTCAGTTTGGATTATCTGCTTTCTTGTCTTTTTTTTTTTTTTTTTTAAACTCTGGCCTTCCTGGCTGAAGACATAAATTCGGTTTGTCCTTTCCAGGGAAACAGGGAATTGAAAGTCGGGGTATGAGATATAGTCTTCGCTTGCCTTAAGTTTAGTGTTGCCAAGTGTCCACTATTTGAGCGGACAGTCCGCTTTTTTCACATTATTTTTTTTCACAAAATAGTGGACATTTTTTTTATTCATGAAATTAAAATGTAATTTAATATTTTACATATTATTATATTTGATGTTTTGAATTTTAAGTAAAGTTTTGAAGTGATTATTTTAATACGTGTTAAAATGTTTGTAAGAAAATATATAATTTAATTGTAATTTTTTTAATGTTTTTTTTACTACTTAAACACCCCCCCCACACACACACCTACTTGTCTGCTATTTTTTGGAAGCAGACCTGGCAACCCTACTTAAGTTTCCTGTTTGAAACTCAAGAGGGCCAGAAACGAGAAGACATGGCTAGGCTTACTTAGAGAATGAAATATTAATGCAAACTTCTTCTTCTTCTTCTTCTTTTTTTTTTTTTTACAAAATGCAACTATGGCATTTTCTAAAACCTGACAAGCTCAACTTGCCTCCATTCCCAAGTCACAAGCCGGATGGGGATTTTGGAACTGTAGTTCGGAACTGTAGTTCTGAAATTTGTGATGGACGGAAACAGGAGAAATGTTAAAAGAATGAACGTTTTCATGTAGTCTCAAAGGCCTGGCTTGTCTGACATTGCGCTTGGTTAAGGAAGAACAGCTACTCCTCGACTTAGGACCATAATTGAGCCCAACGTTTCTGTTGCTAAGCGAGACAGTTGTTAAGATTCGCCCCATTTTGCGACCTTTTTTGACACAATCAAGTGACTCACTACAATGGTTAATAAGTGTTAATAATGGTCCATAAGTGTTAATAATGGTTATTAAGTGAATCTGGCTTCTCCCCTTGACTTTGCTTGTCAGAAGGTCACAGAAGGGGATCTCTCTGACGTCATAAATATGAGTCAGTTGCCAAGTGTCTGAAATTTGATCGCATGACCCTGGAGATGCTGCAATGGTCGTAAGTGTGAAAAATGGCCATACGTCATTTATTTCAGGGCAGTTGTAACTTTGAATGGTCACTAAGTGAACTGTTCTAAGTGGAGGGCCACCTGCACAACTCATTTTCCTATTTGGGATCCTAAAGAAATCAAAACGCACACTGCTTAACGACTGCAGGATTCACTTAACAGCTGCAGGGATTTGCTTAATAACCGTGGGAGAAAAAGTCGTAAAATCAGGGACGGTTCCATAATGCCTTGCTTAGTAATGGAAAGTCAAGGCCCCCAATTGTGTTCAGAAGTCGAGAACTATCCGTATGCTTTCTGCAACCTTTACTAAAAATCTGACCCATCTTGGTTGAAACACGTTAGAGGTAGTCCTTGACTTATGACCGCAATTGAGTCCAACATTTCCATTGCTAAGTGAGACAGTTGTTAAGTGTGCTTTGCCCCATTTTATGACCTTTCTTGCCACGGCTGTTAAGTGAATCACTGCAGGTGAGTTAGAAACACGGTTGCTAAGCGAAGCTGGCTACTGTTCTGCCCCAGCTACGGACCCCCCAAAGAACGCAGCACACACAAAGTCCGTTCAAACCTTGGTTTACTAAATAAATCAGTCTTTTACCACAACGGCTGTTAATTAACTGCATTAACAGCCGCCAAGAATTCAGAGGATAATAACTGAAAGCTTACCGTGGTTGGCAGAAAGCCCAGAAGCAATTTGCAGGAAGCTGATAAAAGAGAACTAAGATCAGGACGCGAAGGAGAGTGAACGAAGTTGTTCCCTGCAAATTGCTTCAGTCGGCGTTCCTCCTTAAATAGGCTAAGGGAGTGGCCAATTTGCCCCAAGCCTTACTCTCGAGGAGACCTCCTCCTGAGGAGCCACTCCTGCCTTTTGGCAGTTCTGCACACCCGTGCATCGAGAAGAGGCTCCTCCTCTTCTTCCTCTTCACTTAAGGGAGCTTCTGAAGGTTCTGAAGGCCCTGACTAAATCCCCACCTCTGGCACCACATCTTCTCCAGCCTCCTCACTGTCCGAGGGCCAGCTGCACAGGCTGCTGGCGCAGCCCTGCACCAGCCTCCTTGCTGTCTGAATCAGCTACTAGCTGCACAGGCCGCGTACGGGCCACAACAGCTTCCAAATTGACTTTGCTTGTCGGAAGGTCGCAAAAGAGGATCACGTGACCCCGGGAACCAGTTGCCAAGCGTCTGAATCGTGATCACATGACCACGGGGATGTTGCAAAGGTTTGGTAATGTAAAAAATGGTCACGTTGCTTTTAGTTAGCGGAATGCTCAGCTAGGAATAACAGCCGTTATCCAGGAAGATAATTTGCCAGGGATGACAAATCAAATATTTCTCTTGATCATACAACCGTGATGTTCTCTTCTTCCCTCATATCCATCTGTCACTTCTTAACTCTACCACTTAGGCATCACATTCATTATGTCATCCCATACGATGGAGACCAGTCGGTGGTTGATTCTTCCGAGAACTACTTTGTGACTGACAACGTCACCAAGCAAGAAATTGATCTGATGCTGGGACTCTTGTTGGGATTCTGTATAAGCTGGTTTCTTGTGTGGATGGATGGATTGCTCCATTACGCCGTACGAGCATGGCGGACGAGCCGACGGTATGGTAAGTGGAAATCAAGCCGACGTGCCAAGATTTTCAAATGATTGCTGGCTTTGGCGAGGGAAATTGCAAGCATGGGGAATGTTTGAACCTGAGGTCAACAACCACAGGCCCCGAAGTTCAATCTACTTGGAAAAAATTCCCAGGAGAGTTTTTAATCCTATGGACCTAATAAAATATATTGATGATAAATTCTAGACTGACTAAACAATGGATTTTTTTTCCATGCAATCTGCTTCTACAAGATGAATAGAATTAATTTGGTCACCACGATGTAAAAAAGATGTGGAGACTCTAGAAATAGTGCAGAGAAGAGCATCAAAGATGGGACTGGAGGCTAAAACATACAAAGAACGGTTGCAGGACCTGGGTATGTCTAGTTTAATGAAAAGAAGGACTAGGGGAGACAGGATAGCAATGTTCCGATATCTCAGGGCTGCCCCAAAGAAGAGGGAGTCAAGCTATTCTCCACAGCACCTGAGGGCAGGACAAGAAGCAACGGGTGGAAACTCATCAAGGAGAGAAGCAACTTAGAACTAAGGAGGAATTTCCTGACAGTTAGAACAATTAATCCGTGGAACAACTTGCCACCAGAAGTTGTGAATGCTCCAACACTGGAAGTTTTTAAGAAGAGGTTGGATAACCATTTGTCTGAAGTGTAGGTTTCCTGTCTAAGCAGGGGGTTGGACTAGAAGACCTCCAAGGTCCCTTCCAACTCTGTTATTCTATTCTATTCTAATGTATGTAATTTACTGGGTTCTTTTCTCTAGAAATACTTTCTTCTTTTAGAAGGCAGCTTTATATATTTCTTAGAAAAACGGGTCATAATGTGGGAGGCAAAAGAGCCGGATTTATTTTATTTAGGGAAGGTACATGCCACCTCTTTCTTTAAAAGGTCTGGCTGGGTTAATAAAGATAAAATAGCAGGGTATAATAAAAGCAACATTTTTCAGCATAACTGATACAAATAGAAACTAAAATTCAAACCAATAACAGATTGCCTGGAAAAATATTTATGTTTTAGGAAAACCCTGTTAAAATTGGACATTAATTTAGTCAACCAATGATCCTTTAAATTTCTTGACATTTGGTGTATTCTATCTTGAGTACAAACTGCATTGGCCAGTTGTTTTTTTTTTTGAAGAATCCTATTTTGGGAGAACTGGAGTAGAACAGCTAAACAGTTGGCTGGCTGGAATTTCACATCCAGCAGCTAAATGAACTTCCCGATTTTTTTTTTGATAACTTGGAGAGTTTTTCTTACCCCGATATTCAAACAGGGAACTGAGGCAGACAACCCCAACATTGTTTATCTGTTGGTGCCTTGTTTGAAAGAGGAAAAACTCGCCGGGATTGCTGTAACCGAAGCCTTTTGTCAGATCTGTACAGTTAATCTTTACAAGTAGGAGGTTTAATTGTGCCCACATTATTAAACTGGAACATTTTGTATGGAAGGAAACAATTGAGGGAATATTAGTCAATGCCTAGATGTTTTGCTTGTAGCGAGAGAGAAAGGCATTGTAGGTAGTCTTTGATTCACTTAACAACCAAAGTTACAAAAAGCACTGAAAGGGGTCCTTACATTTACAACCGTTGGCAGCATCCTTAGAATCCACCCGATCAAAATTTCGGTGCCGGCAGGTATTTTACAATGGTTGAAGCGCACCGGATTTGCGAGGTTTCGCTATTTGCAACCTTCCCAGCTGACTTCTGACAAAGTCAAGGCAGTGGGGCAAGCCAGACTCACTTAGCAACTGCAGGATTCACTGAACAACACAGTGGTATGCTTAATAACCATGGCAAAAAAAAAAAATGTCGTAAAATTGGACATGACTTACTTAATCAACCGCTTTGCTTAGCAATGGAAATTCTGGTCCCCATTGCGATCGTAAGTTGAGGACTACCTTTATTAGTATTGTAGTTTTAGATTTAAAGTGTGGGGTATTATAACCTAGGAGTAAGGAACCCTGGCCTCTCATAGCACAAGCCATAGATATCTGGAATTGTAGTTCAGTAACTACACTAGTTCAGTAATTTAGCCACTGAGCGGTGGCTCAGCGGGTAAGACCCTGAGCTTGTCGATCGAAAGGTTGGCAGTTCAGCGGTTCGAATCCCTAGCGCTGCGTAACGGGGTGAACTCCCTTGACTTGTCCCAGCTTCTGTCAACCCAGCAGTTCAAAAGCATATTTTAAAAAATGCAAGTAGAAAAAATAGGGACCACCTTTGGTGGGAAGGTAACTGCGCACCTTTGGTGTTGAGTCATGCCAGCCACATGACCACGGAGACGTCTTCGGACAGCGCTGGCTCTTCGGCTTTGAAACGGAGATGAACACTGCCCCCTAGAGTCGGGAACAACTAGCACGTATGTGCGAGGGGAATCTTTACCTTTACCTTAACTGTAAAAGACTGTCTACCACTAACTTAGCCTGGCTGGGACCTTCTCCATGGTGATGTCTCACCAGTTGGAAGATTATGTAGGAAGATTTTAAAATGAGATTAGGTAAATACATAAAGGAGGTGGGGAAATGATGGTTTCTTTGTTAATGATAGATATTTCTTCTAAAATCTGAACTTGGATGCTTTGCGACACCGGCTATTAGAAAATCCCGATGTGGAAGCTCTCTTTTTATATTTCGTGGCTTCTTCAACATCCTTTGGAGTGGCCAGACGCTTCTCAAAAGAGAACCATGGCCCCAAATCATCAAAGGGGTTGGGTTAAATGAGGAATCTCTGTTTCTATCATACTGAGTCAATTTTTTTCCCCCCCCCCCCTCTCTCTCTCTTTTCCCAGACAATTCATGGTCTTGGTTTCCCAAATTTTGTAACTTCAAGGAGTTCCGGAAACGCCACCATAGCCAGTATGACGAAGCCGCGGGAAACATGGTGCACATCAAACAAAAATTGTATCATAATGGGCACCCCAGCCCAAGACACCTTTAAGGAAACCTGGGACTGATCAGTGCTCTATTGAACATGCCTTTTGCTGTCTACCAAGGGGAGATGTCCAGCTGCTTACTCCCCGGTGGACGCCACTTAAAGACTCCCCCTTAGTTCCACCAACGGTGTGTCTGCAGAATTCTCTGCGCCCAGAGAATGCACAATTCCTCTCCCCGTCCTGGATCCAAGGCTCACGAGACATTGCACTGTGGTTACCATTTGACTGGTGGACCTGTACATATGACGAAAGGAGATGAAACAACGCAGCACAGAAAGAGCGCGAGAGAAAATTTGCATTACACTTTCCAGCCCTCGCTTCTTTTGGTGATGATAGCAATGGCAGTCTATTTTTCCTCCCCGTTGGGTTTTCTTTGTTGATTTGGAAGTTTTGTTTGTTGTCGTCCATGGTCTTTGTAGATGAATTTGGCCAGATGTTGCCCTGTTTAGCCTTCAAGTACTTCTGAATCTCTGTTTCCAATTGTATCTGACCCCCTCCATCCACTTGATCCCCATGAAGGTTCTTCGTTGTGCTCCGATATCTCATTCCTAATCTAGATTTGGTCTGGATTTTAGGTGATCTGGTAGGTACAATGCGTAATCCTTTAAGGACCCTCTTCTGTTGAGAATAGCTTGGTTTTCTCCAGCCTCCACTTTCTGCTTTCCTTTCCTTCTGAATCATAACCTAGGGAGATCTTTCCTCCAAACCTGCCTGAAGAAACAGGTAGCTCTGTTCTGACATGCAAAATTCGCAATCACCGGGTAGTCATCTGTAAACTGGAGCGAGCTGTCTTCCAAGAAACACTAACCCAAAAGGTCTACCTTGAGAAGTTTGGTTTGAGCAGGTCATGTTAGTAAAAATAGGCGTATTTAAGGTTCCCTTTGGTCTATTGCCTGTGAAGGTTTCATCCAGGTGACTCTTGGCAAGACCGAAACTGACTCTTAGTTAGACGAGACTGTTTAATTTGGGGCTGTGTTTCAGTCGTAGAGAGGTCATTCTTTTTAAAGAAATTGGAGAAGGCCAAATTGGTTTTTAGCAGGCCAAGCATACTTCTTTCCAGTTATGGTCCCTTCCTTGCATGCCATGTTCATAGGTTCTTCTGTGCAAGGGGCATCGTAAGATCTTCAAGATAGCCCTCAAGTTCCACATCCCATCAGCCTTGGCAAGCATTGCCTGTGATGAGCCAGGATGGAGGTTATGTCCCAGAAGAATCTGGAGATCTCTCAATTGGTCTGTCCTACACCCGGAACCACCTGAATAATGGCAATTGCCATCTTGGCGCCTCAACCCTGTTGCATTTACAAGACCATCTACCTCAGAAACTGAACTGCGCAGTGGCTTCAGTGAAGGAAGTTACGCAGGGAGGGAGGGCCAGGGATACCGAGAGCCAAAAGGGCATTTGAACTGGGAATAGTTCAACCCAGTTCCAGGGTTCCACCAAGTGGACCCACATGCCGCACTCCAGCAGAAGGAGGTTCATTCATTTGGAGGGCTTAGGAGGTTGGGCAGGTCGAGCTGCTGGGGGTTCGTCGGCCATGCCAGTCAGCACAAATGCAACCCTCAGTTGTGGTTTATTCAATAAACCACGGCTATGCCAAGCTAGAGTTTAACGCGATCCAGAACGATAAGTCTTCACACTGTCATCCCCAAGATGAGTAATCTCTTCCGTCTCACTGTGCATAATTGCTCACCACTGGCTGAAATCATTATTGCAACGATGGTTAAAAATGCACATTTCTTACGATCGAGTCGCAGAACACGCTGGCTTTTCAAGAGGCAGATTTCTGTTAAGGTGTCCCTCCACCTAGGAAAGGAGGCCATCTGGAAAGCAGGCTTTAGAGCTAAAAGGCAAGTAGAAATCATGCCTGCCATACCTGTTGAAAACTCTGCCTGTTTTGCAGCTCTTAAAAGCAGCCTGCCCTCCACTTTTTAAAGCTGATGCTGGAGAAACCTTTCTTTTTATTTATTTCTTACAAAGCCAGATTGTGGCCCAACATTTGTCTACAAGTCTACCCTGCCCATCTGAACATCCAACGTTAGGTGGCTTTATAACTCTTCTTCCTATTACTACTACTAATACAGTGGGTTTGCATGCATGAATTAGGGCGTACAGAAACCTGTGCTAAAACGTAGTCGTATCAGATATGATGTCATCGTGCTAAATGGGGGGATTCGGGGGGGACCAGTTCTGAAAGAGAGCCCAGCATGGTGGGGTTCAAGGAGACCGAGCTGAGTTTGTTCTAGCAAGCAGGCCTGGGGGTGGGGGTGGTGGACAGGAGATCATAAGTTGAGGGGAAAGCAAGTTTTAATTTAGGACTTCGCTGCTGCATTGTTCTTGGAGATCGATATATATGAGGAATTCGAAGACACACAATCTGGAGTCCTCCATGATTTGGTTCAATCCCCAGATAACATGCTTAATGGTTTAGGCATCAGGGCAGAAGATAAAGAGGGCATCAGGTTGCCAACATTTTGACTGTATGATCTCCAAGATCTCTTCTAAAGAAATGGATGCCGTGCCTTGTTAAGTCATGTTGAGTTAACCTGTGGTTCTGGTTGGTTGGGTTGCTGTGTGGTACGAACCCAGCCAATGATGGTTTAATCAATAAATCTTTATTCCACTCACCATGGCTTTAGGGCTTGGCATGAACCCAGCTTGTGGTCAAAGCCCATTGAACTCAGTGGCCTAAATCTAGACACATTTTCTTTGGAACAGAGAGGTGACTGACCAACACTAATGCATGTCAAATTAGTTTTTATTACTTTTTTTTTTGTTTTTCATTAGCAGATTTTGGGTTTGAAAAAAAAGAGCATTCCCAATTTGTTTTTAACTGTTACCCAGAGAATTTAAAAAACAAAAAAAATTGGGATAGACCCCCTCCGTAGGAAAATACTGAAAATGTCTGTGATTATTCTATTGTTTTGATTGCAATGTCCGTGTGATTAAAAGGAAAAAAAATAACAACTTCACCCAGAACCCAAAATGAAAGATGAGAAATTTACTGGTAACCTCGCTAATCTTGTTTCATTTGAGAATATTTGCCAACAATTGTCTGTGTGTGTGTGTCTGTGTGAGAGAGAGAAGGAGGGAGGGAGGGAAGGAGGGAGAGAGAGAAAGAAAGAAAGAGAGAGAGAGATGGATGTTTAAACACACATTTTCGGAAATGGTTGAATATTTCACAATTGTGCTTTGTCTACTTTTGTCATTCAAATATTTTCCATGAGATATTTAAACCATGAAGTTCAGGTGGTTTCCTACTCCATAATTAAATTCTTTTGGGGAGGGGTGGGAGGGTAGATTGGCAACAATGCTTGTATACTGTATCAGAAAATGTTAAAAAGAAAATTCTTGGTTCTTAGCTTTTTTTAAAATAATTCTCCATCCATCCCATCTGATTTAGGCAAACTGCAGAAAGAGAACGTTTTCTAAGAAGCCCTTCAAAAATGGCTGACACTCTGCTTTTAATGTTATAGTCTAAAAGACATGTCACAAAAGGAAAGGAGGTGGGAAGGGAGAAAAGGAAGAAAAGCCCTTAAGGTAACCAGCTGGCGTAGAAGCAGTTTTTAGGAAGCTGGATGGAATGAATGTTTCAAACCAAGAGAAGCTTTAAGAGGCAATATACCACTTTTATTTTAATCTGCCATGCTACTTGGTACAGATACTATCTGAATTGGGAGTCAAGATAACAAGCTGTAGCACTAATTAAATCAGTTTAAGGTTTAGATTGCTAGTTAAGGAATCAATGAAAGAGATAGCTTTGTAATAACAGATTTTATGGAAATAAGCCTCCTGTAATATTAGAGGACTGGAAAAGAAACCAGCATTCTGTGATCTTTCAGCCATGTCAGCAGATTATGATCAACAGTGGTGGTTTTCAGCTCAGTGGTGGGTTTTAACCGGTGTTACCACAGATTCGCTTTGCGTATATGATGGCAATCATATGATTAGTATATTGATAAATAATATGAGAGCCAGTTTGGTGTATTGGTGAAGGTGCTGGCCTAGATACCAGGAGACAGGGAGTTCTAGTCCCACTTTAGCCATGAAAGCAACTGGGTGACTTTGGACCACTCTCTCTCTCTCTCTCTCTCTCTCTCTCTGCCCAATCCACCTTACAGCAGAGGTGGGTTTCAGCAGGTTCGGACAAATTCTGGAGAAGCGGTAGTGGAAATTGTGAGTAGTTTGGAGAAGCGGTAGTAAAAATTCTGACTGGCTTCTCCCCCATCTATTCTCTGCCTCCCGAGTCCCAGCTGATCGGGAGGAAATGGGGATTTTGCAGTAACCTTCCCCTGGAGTGGGGAGGGAATGGGGATTTTGCAGTATCCTTCCCCTGGAGTAGGGAGGGAATGGAGATTTTGTAGTATGCTTCCCCTGCCATGCCTACCAAGCCACACCCACAGAACCGGTAGTAAAAATTCTGAATGGCCCCGCCCCCATCTATTCTCTGCCTCCCCGAGTCCCAGCTGATCGGGAGGAAATGGGGATTTTGCAGTAACCTTCCCCTGGAGTGGGGATTTTGCAGTTATCCTTCCCCTGGAGTGGGGTGGGAATGGAGATTTTGCAGTATCCTTCCCTGGAGTGGGAAGGGAATGGGAATTTTACAGTATCCTTCCCCTGGAGTGGGGAGGGAATGGGATTTTGCAGTAACCTTCCCCTGGGTGGGGATTTTGCAGTATCCTTCCCTGGAGTGGGGTGGGAATGGAGATTTTGCAGTATCCTTCCCCTGGAATGGGGTGGGAATGGAGATTTTGCAGTATCCTTCCCCTGGAGTGGGGAGGGAATGGGGATTTTGCAGTAACCTTCCCCTGGAGAGGGAATGGGGATTTTGCAGTATCCTTCCCCTGGAGTGGGAAGGGAATGGGGATTTTGTAGTATCCTTCCCCTGGAGTGGGGTGGGAATGGGGATTTTGCAGTATCCTTCCCCTGCCACGCCATGCCCACCAAGCCACGCCCACAGAACTGGTAGTAAAAAAAAAAATTGAAACCCACCACTGCCTCCTGGGGTTATTCTGTGGAAAAAATAGAAGATGAGAATATTGGGTATATTTGCCTTAAGTTATATATTAGAAAAGTGGGATGAAAAGATGGGGGAGGGTCATGCGTGCGTGCGCGGGGCATATTGAATTATGGGTGTGGGCACGCGTGCGCGTGACCCCCACACACTCCCTCTGCTTTTGGCACACGACGGCAAAAAGGTTAGCCATCGCTGACCTCTATTATTGTTATTATTTTATTTTATTTGCATTTATCGGCTGCCCAATCCCAGGAGACTCCATTTCTGCTGCTTCCTTATTCTGTGGAGATTTTGAGCTGGGGAAGTTCAGGAATGAGGCCTGTCTCGTTGTTGTCATTGTCGAAGTTTGGGGTGTGTGAAGCCGTTATTGTGTTACTCACATTTTTGTGTGTCTCTTGTGGTGTGGAAACAGGAGTCAACATCCCTCACCTTTTTTTTTTTCCCTTGCTTTCTTGGATTTATGGTCCTTGGTCTCTCGACTGTGACCGCTTTGGCCTTTTTTTTTACCTCAGGAATTCATTTTTTTTAAAAAAAGTCTATAAGGATCGAAGCTGAGGGAAATTCATTTCCAGAACTACTATTCTGGCGCCATCTTGGCAAAAGTTACTAATTGCTTCTCATTGGCCAGGCAGGCGGCGGTAGGCGTGACTTAAGCCCCGTTGCAGCCAATCGGTGTTTGGGAAAGGTGCTTGGTCACTGTGAAGGCGTCGAGTTCTATAGCAGAGAGGCCTTTTCGGCCTCTCCAGATCCCCAACTCTTTTTCCTGGAGGACCGGATGGCTCCAATGAATGAAATGGGGAGAAAATTTAACTCTGTTCATTTAATTCCTTGGGGTTCGCTTGATTGACAGTATTAGTGGCATTTGAATGAGCATGGAGGGTGTTCTGACTTAGGCTTCCTTAGGAAGCATGAAGCAAAAGTCTTAATTCGGGCCAAATCTTTTATTTACACGACTGCGAATTATTGTCATTCACAGTCAACAAGGCGTTGGCAAGCAGTCTTTCAGAGGAATGCTTATCAACACCCACTGTATCTCACTTGGAACGCTGCCAGAGAACCAATTTCCAAACGCAGGGCAAGGCCAAACTTGGCACAGAGTCTATTAAGAGTCACGAACAGAACTTTCCAATCTTGAAACGACCAAATGAACTAATTGTTTCCTGCAAAAGCCCACGTCCCGCTCGGCTCCTCTTTTATGTCCTATGGGAGGGGCCAATCATCTCCAAGGTGTGGCCTTACTCCTGAGTCGACCCTGCTTCCTTAGCTGTTCTTGTCTTCTGGCAGCTCTGCGCATGCACACACTGGGAACGGGCTCCAGCTGTTCCTCTGTCCCGCTGCTGCTGTCTACTTTCCTCTCTGCCTCCAAAGCAGGGCCCTCGTCCGAGCTTTCCCCAGCCCCCAAGGACTGGCCCATGTTCTTCCCCAACCTCCTCACTGTCGGACTCTGCTGGCTGCCGGCGGCCCACAACAGAGATCAGGATGCTATTTTTTTTACCCTCCCTTTCATATATTTATTTGGTGGCCTCCTCCGAGCAGATTTGTGCTTCTTTGTCCAAGTGGGTTAAAAACAAAATTGTCTCCGGCAGCGTTTGGTGAGATTTTTTTAAAAAAATTTTTTTTTATCTAGCTCTTCTCCTAAAGTGGAAGTTGGCTGCTGCTAGCTGATGCCCTAGTTTTGAGAATTGCAAGAGATCAGATTGCTGAGCCAAGCAAGTTATTCCTCCCTCGCAGATTGGGCCCACAAGAAAATGAGGAAGATGGAAGAGGAGAACGGTGTGTATCACACGGCCCCACAGGGAAAGAGTTTCAACCCATTCCTCCAGTGCTTGGGGGGTGGGTGGGTGGAGAGATACTTAATGAAGCAATAGTGGAACCTAGATCCAAATAGAGCAGATAATGTTTTTGTTTTCAAAGTCAGGGAATTCCCATCTGTTAACAGCTGATTCTTTTTTCCCCTCTCTCTCTCTGAGGATAAAATTAACAGCCAAATAGGTTGTGTTAAACCTGTTTGGTTTTTTTCCCCCCTAGAAAGAAAACCCCGGAATACCCAGCGAAAGGAAAAACCTTTTGATTTTAAGACATCTCTTCCAACCTAACCTATCCTAGAGGTCTCTGGCAGGTGGCAAAATGTTTCTGTCAAGTTTCCGAAAGATGCCCTAATTAATTCTCCCTCCCTCCTGCTCATGGCAACTTGAAAGCTTTGCAAGTTGACAGTTTCATTTATTTATGAAATTAATTATGCCACCCATTATCACTGGCGAGTGACTCCTGGGCAGCTTAAAAGAACGTTAACTGGGTATGAGCAGGTAACAAATTTGATAAAGTGCTAACCAATTGCTACCTCCCCATTATGTCATTTGGCTTTTAATTTTTTAATTGCTGCGTCTGTCTTTTTAAAAAAAAAACAAAAAAAACCCCACACACCTAGATCAGGGATGGCAAACCTTTTCGGCACCTAGTGCCCAAATGGGAAAGTGCATGTATGTGCGTGCCCAGGAGCACCGGAAACCTAAATACTACCTGGCCAGCGTGCACATGCCTTTTTTTCTGGCCGTTTTCCAGCCCATTTTCGGGCTGTTTTCAGGCCGTTTTCCAGGTAGTTTTTGGGCCGTTTTCAAGTGCTCCACCACCCGCGAAGACCAGCTATCCGGTGTGCATGTGCACGCCGGAAACCAGAAGAACAGCTGGCAATGGCGCACGTGCCCACAGAGAGGGCTCTGAGTGGCACGTGTGCCATAGGTTCGCCATAGATCTTATGGTAGTATGTATGTATGTATGTATGTCTTAAGTTTTCGCGGGTGTGTATATGCAAAAAATTAAAATCTCGGGTGTTTTCCCGCGTCATTGTAAATAAGTTAGTTAAAATGTTTAAAATTCTGGTTAAAATCCTAGCTTAAAATCTTCTAAAAATCCTTACAGAGCATTCTGCAAGGTCCTTTAAAACCTTAGCTAAAATCCTACCAGTACCTTAAAAGTTTTTTCTTTCTAGCAACG